TCTTTCCCTTGGTAGTTATAAAAGGAACCACTTACACATGCTTTCACATTGACACTTGTCATCCCAGGAAGGGTGGCTAGGGTTTCCTGCACAAATCACGAACGGGGACCCATTTTTTCTGCGGAAACGTTCCTTGCATTCACAGTTTAACATGGTGCCGTGCTTGTAGGCAGAGGCTTTGAATGTGGCGTATTTGACTTCTGGCGGATTATCGTCACAAATCTCTGCCAAGAAAAAGAAACATATTAGGAGTTCAAGTATCTGTTTTATTTGTTTGTTTCTTTGCTATAGGGCACAGGTCATTGCTGGAGAGAGACAGAGAAAGGGAGTGTGAGAAATCACCCTTTAGGGGGAATGGTCACACTGAAATTCCTTCTCCTCCATTCTCCTCTCAGGATTTGGGGCATGAATGCACCCATGCCCATGGCTTTTTAAGCCACTGGATTCAGGACTTAAACCACTTGATCAGCCATGTGGGATCCAGTCATCTTAACCTCCATACCACCTGCTGGCCCACATCCACATAGTTAAAATGTAATAATTTAATTGCATATTTCTTCACATTTAAAAAATGATTTATACATATGTCTCCCCCTCCCCCACTTTTTTCCCCCTAGGGAAGAAACTAAAGTTGCTTCTGTTGTTCTTTAGAAACCTTTGGACCTGACGTGGTTCTAGAGTTCACTTCAGCCTAGTTCCTCTCCAAAGTATAGTATATCGCAAACTAAGTGAGTATAAATGCCTGAGATTTTATTCTGAATATGCTTCACATCAACCAAGTATACACAGAAAGAGGAGGGCCAAGGAATGTGAGGAAAGCCATGTAAATTTAATTGGGGGACAGAATGTGTCCAGGTGAAATACTTTTCTGGATAAGGATTGTCAGATTTTCTGTAATGATTCTGTATCATTTTTGAAAAAATATACATATAGAACTTCATTCCATGTCTGGCAAGTAGGATATGTGTATTTCTCACCTGCATGCCCACTTTTGGAGTTTACCAACTACCTCCTCATTCCATGAAGCCCTTACCTCAGTTCCCAGAATAGATGCTTTTTGTCCCACTAAGGACACCAGAAGGAGTCTTCAAACACATAACTATTAAGGGGAAAATGGTGCTGGTTTAATCAGAAAAATGATCCTATTGTATACTTTGCAACAAGAACCACTTCAAGAGATTATACTTTCGGCTGGATGAAGGAAGTAGATTGGGGATGGCCAGCACAGGAAAAGGTGAGAAGACAAGAGCCTCTGTCTATCCATGGAGCACACACAGAGACCCATCCAGGCTGGTTGCTGTACTCATTGCTGGTGGTTGGCCTGTTGTTTATTAATCACTGAGGTTGGAGCGAAGCTTCTCTGTGCTCTTAGACTCTGCCAGCATCTGGTCATCTTGAAGACCACACCCACAGTGGCTCAGGACTCTCCTGAGTTCTCCAAGAACCAAAGATGGGGAGAACTAAGACTGCCTGGCTCACCTCTAGCCAAGAAGTAATTTGAATGAGCACAGTGGGCCAGCAGCTATAGTGGGACAGGTAATGTAAGTGCTCGATAAATTCCAGTGATCATAATGAGGTATTAAAGGCAGCATAGTGCAAAGGGGAGAAATATAGGCTTCTGAATTCTATCCCTTACAGCTTACTAACTATATCGTTGTATTGTTTTTTTTTTCTGCTCTAAGGCTCAGTTTTATGATGAAATAATTATTTTACTGATTTAAAGATTATACAAAAGAGCATACTGAAGTGTCTTGCCGAGGGCCTGGCAAATAACAGGTGTGGAATAGATGCGAGTTCTCTCTCTCCCTCTTTTATTTTTTATTTTTTTGCTGTTTTGAAAAAGAGAATGATCATCAAATAGAGACTTGGCTAAAGTTTATTTAACCTTTACCTCCTGCAAAGTCATCTCTCTAATGCCTGCATCATTGACATCATTTGCTGGCCCTCGTCGTATGGTACTACGACCAACATTTTAAATGTCAGAAGGCAAGTCTGTTGCTAAACAAGATACTGATAATAATCAGAAAAACCAATGAGGACTTCTGCTTTCAACCATGCTATAGGAACTGGAACCAAAACTTACCTTCCTGCTCAGACTATAAAATTGGATGTATGTAGCAAGTGTTTTTAGGAATTGAGCAGTTTAGGGCTGCATTACTTGGGAAGAGGGAAATGCATTAAATGAAGCACGATTGCCTTGGCTTTCTTCCTGGGGCACTTGCTTGCCAGGCAGCAACTAAGTGGAGCCCAAGCAGAAAAGTGGTCTCACTAACCTGGCCTGACTGGGATTTGTGGGTTGTGGGGTCCTGAAGAAGGGGATACCACACACTGGGGGTCTATCAATACATCAAGTTCTTAGCCAGGAGCTGAGCTGAACATGAGCAGGGCAGGGCTCAGTAAGGCCTGGCATAGATTGTTCATCGTGGGGGCTGAAAGAAGAACAATTATACTGAATTTTATTTATTAAAAAAAGGCACCTGGGGACCCACAGATGGCATAATGGTCATGTTGCTGGACTCCCACATAGTTGATTGCGGTTCAAGTCCCAGACCTGGCAGCTTAAAACTCACTCTGGGTGCACCTGAGTGTGTGCTCTAAATCCCAAAAAGAGAGTGGAGGAGAAGGGATTGTGGCATAGCCATCCTCCCAGAGGGGGGTGATTTCTTCTTGTCTCTTCATCTCTCCAGTGAGTGCATGTGCCCTATAACAAAACTTCTCTCTTAAAAAAAAAAAAGGCATCTGATCCGTGGATTGTAGTTTTCCAATTCTGTTCTAGAGAAAGACATTCCTAGGATGAAGTTCAAACCAAAGTAGACCTCTTTTTACAATGATTAACATCAAGCCTGACACACAAAAGGATGTACCAGTCATTTAACTGCCTGTCAAAACAAAATTCAATACCATTTAAAGGAAAACAACATAATGCAGATTCTCTATAATGTGTAATTCACAATATTCAGCAAATTAAAAAAATTCTAGACATATAAAGAAATAGGAAAACGTGACCCACTTTAAAAAGCAGTCAATAGAAACAGACTTTTAACCAATGCAGATTTTGGAATCAGCAAAGAGTTTAAAACAATTATAATTAATATGTTCAATTATTTAAAGCAGGAGACAGCAAACTATGGTCTATAGATTGGTTACCATTCATTTTTACTAATAGAGTTTTATTGGAACAAGACAAGGTCCATTTATTTCCATTTTACCCATAATCATAAAGAAATTTACCAAAAAACTTCTGAGTCTTCTTATCTGGAAAATTCTGAAACATTGCTTGAGACAAAGTATTTAAAAACCTAAATAAATGGGAAAACATGCACTGTTTATAGATTCACCTTAAATCAATCAATTACAATAACAAACCCAACGCACTTTTTATTAGACTACTGCCTCACCATCTGGCCCCCAGAATTTTCTTTAGAAGGTGGGAAGGTGGATATTTTCCTCCCTGTACTTTCCTAAATCTTTTTTTTTTTAAATTGCCAGAGGGCACCTAGGTTCACCAGAGAGAAAGACAGGGAAGACAGAGAGAAGAAGAAAGCACCCACCCCCCAATGAAATATGGTCATGCCGAAATCCCTTCTTCTCCATTTCTCCATCCTGCTGGAATTTTGGACATGTATGCATACATTCCCAGTGAGTAAGCCACCAGAGTTGGGATTTGAATCATGTGATCCAGGGCCCTTAAACACTAGACCAAGGGATTGGCCCTTTCTGTAATTTTTACAATCTGAGTTGTGCACAACTGTGGTTTAGATGTCATTTTCCTCTTCTGAGAGAATTTAGAGTGCCCAGTGTTTACGGACAGTTGGAAAAGTTTAGGTTACTGACTTGGGGTGGGAGATGAGGCAACACTCAGCTTGGAATGTGGGGTGCTTGTCAGGAGACATACCACAGCCACCGAGGTACATTGATGTGGCCTTCCCTTTTAGCTTTTGTACCTTTTATGTGGGCTGAGAGAAAAAGAGACAGCAACTTTTATTAACCCTGAAAACCCCAAGGGCTTTGACCTGGCATGTACACTAAGAGAGTGTTAAACTGAGCTCTTCTGATGTTGAGCATCTTTCATAACTTTTTTTTTTTTTTTT